GAGGTCGATACGAGGAGTATTTGACATCGCGACTTCGAGCGCGTCCTCGGCGTCAAAAGATTGGAAGAGTTTGAAAGTCAGGCCACAAGTCACCTCCCGAGTCCCCACTCGGCGTCCGAAGGAGGCAACGTCCTCTCTGACCCCGACCTCTTCAGCAACTCCCTCGACCTCTGCCTCCGAAGCCCGATCCGGGTCTTCTCCAAATTTTCCTCAACCTCTAGCCTCGCCGCCTGATCGAAGAGTTCTGACCACTGCGAAGGCTCGAAGGGTTGAGGAAGCTGTGAAAACTTCTTATACCCGGGGGTATAGTACAGCAGATTATGAGCAGCTCGGCCGAACCCGTTGTCACCCGTGAAACTCCAAACCGTGATTAGGTCGGCAAAGTTCACCAGCGACCGAGGGGGTGGAGCTGTTTCCCGAGCAGGAATATCTGCACAAACAAAGAAGTTGTCAACATGAGAAGTCCCGAGAAACAAATAAGAAACCCAAAGGAACCGACGTACTTGTCGTTCTCCATTCCAGAGGGCATAATAAGTCATTATATTCGGGACCAACACCTCTCTGCCAAGATCCCTTGAAGATCAGGATATCGTCCTTGTACCCCTTGTCCGAGTCAGGAAGATGGGTTACAAGGTACATGGAAGGGTCCCTGGCTTTGAGGTAGAAGTGTTGGTGAGGCATGACTCTAAGGAGGGAGTAACAGAAAAGGAGATCATTGAGCCCAATATTCACCCCGAGGCGCCTATTGAGCTCTAAGACCCCATGATTATTCGAAAGACATTAAGGCAGCATTGCCCGGGAAGAGGCGAAAGCGAGAGAGGAACTGAAGAAGCAGAGGGGGTAAAGGAAACCTAATTCCACCCTCTATGATGGCCTTGGTATAGAAAGGCATGGCATCCTCGGCCCCGAAGGTAGATGAGTGCAACAATGGGTTAAAATCCACTACGTCTACACACGGAGGAATGCCGTACTTGGCCCTAAACCTATCGATCTGCTCCTCGCCTTTCACCTTGTATTTCCCTGACCCCGAGGGACCAGCCGGTGGATTCTCGGGAGCAGGGCGACGACGAGGCATCTCTAAAAGAAAAGGAAGAAAAAGGTATTTACTCTTGAAAACCCGAGGAAGTTCCCCGAGGGTTTAAATCAAGACGTGCCGACCGGATGACACCACCGTTCAATCGGAAAACAAAAAGGCTAGGAGGACGATAAAAAGAAGGTTGTGAAACTCACCCGAACGTCAAAAATGGAGTTTTTCAGGAAAAACTTTAAAACGACTCCCACCAGAAAGTCCAGGAATCAACAATGGGTTTGCTGGCTCTGTGATTTTGAGAGAAAGGGCAGTCGACGATGGCAGAAGAAACAAGAACTCCGGCGAAAGATCAAGAAAGGCGTACTCTGGATAAAAGATCGAAATGGCAAAACGATGGAAACCAGAGAAGAACCCCTTTATATAGGGGGAAATTTTCATCATTGGGCGGGAGAACCGAAACGGCGCATTTAATGCGCACGACATCCCAAGCCGGGGAAAGCGGCTCGAGGCCATAATGAAGGACGGATGGCAGTTGGGAAACCCTTCGTCTCCTTACAACGCGTGTCCTCGGTGTCAGAAGATCGAAGGCTGGGGGGCAGTTGATGGGACTCTTCTGAAAACCTATGATGAAGACACGTGTCCTCGGGTTTTCTGGAACAGTGTTGCTCGGATTTAAGCACCATCGGCAACGAGTGTCCTCGCCCCCGAGGTACCTCTCATATAGGATCATGCATTCGGTGTATTATACAACAACACGTGTCCTCGGTCACCCATGTACCTCGGAAACATACCACCCTCGGTCCCCGAGGTGAGCCTTTCCTCGGTGCCGAGAGTTACTCCGTCCTGGACGCTTCCTCTACTCCCGGATAAAGCTACTGACGTACGGGTCATCAGCCTATGCCAGTCTAGACTATTCATCATGACCTCGTCTTACACAAGTAATGTCAGAACATACTGAATACAGAAGTCATAGCCAATACGTGATGGACGCGTGGCATATGATGTCACATCAAAAACAGACAAACCGCATGCTATTGCTGACACGCGCTTTGGGAAAGCAAACAATTAATTGCACCCTTCTGTTGACGAGACCGCATTCAATGCGGTAAGGTTCGGATATGAAAGGCAATAAATGCTCCTATTACAGAGCATTTATTGCATCCTTCCCGAAAGGAGCATATTGTACCGTCGGCGTCCCGACGACTCAGCATTGATTGCTCGGGACCCCGAGCAGTCAATTAGAGAAGACATTCCTCATCAAATCAATACACACGCTACATGTGCCTGATGATCACCTACTGACCACACTGACAGCAATCATGAGCTTTTAAGGTATAAATATTCCTCCAAAAGGCAAAGCGGGTATGCAATCACAAACTCTCTACTACAATACAGATTTTCTCAGTGTTTTCTTCTTCCTCTCTCTCATTCAAAGACTGACTAGACCGTCGGAGGGGATACGCCGGAACACACTCCGGCACCCTTCTAACTTGTTCCTCTTTATTCCAGGAAAACCTTTCACACGTACAGAATCGTTCTTCTTTTCCCAGGATCTTTCTTTGCCGTTCCAGGTTGCCACCGTACCTTGTAGGCTGTTTCAAGCAGCGTGTTTGGCCACTCAACCGGCTCACTCAAAGTTCACCAGGGGAGAGATCTGTTCCCAATATTTTTTATATTGTGCAGGATCTTGCACGCACAATTTGTTTTAATGGTTATACAATATTATAGGAAAAGAGATGATAAAGTTCGAACTTACGATTTTAAAGTTTAGTATACGAATTAAAACTCTAAGGGGTAGGTTAAGCGGTAATAAAGACGAGTTATAAATTTAAATATTATGAGTTCAAATTTTAGTAACTATTTATAGTTAGACTATGAATATTTTAGTTCGAGCATGAATGATATATTTTTGATTAGACCAAAAAGAGATTTACTCAAAATATGTGTAAGATGTTCTAAACACTGGTTACCCTGGAAAAAACAAAAACACAAAAAAAAAAAACGCGGATTAATTGAAAAAACTACGCGGATGAATTCCCCGTTTCAAACAAAAAAACTTCTCAAAGTTAAATTTGGCAACTGAGGGAAACAGAGACGCGCACTAACCGTTGATGATGGTCAAAGTCGCCGTCTCCATTGTCAAAAATGACAAAAAAAACATCTAGGTTTAATTAGACTCTGTCCTATCAAATAATGAGATTTATTATTTTGTTCCTTTAATTATGATATTTATCATATTATGCCTTCAACTATGGTTATCAATTTTATACCATGCAATGATGAACGCTCATTAGAAATTTAATAAGCATTATTTCTTTTTTTTTCATTGAACTACCTAATTTTATTTGACTTTGTTTTGATATATTGATATTTTTCGTTTAAAAGGAAATGGAAATGGATGTTTGAATTTAGAATAATGTGAAATAATTTAAGTAGTTGTTGATATAATATGAGAAATTAAATAAGGTAAGGGGTAAAATGATATGAAAGGCATAGTTTAGGGGAAAAAAATGTAATTAACCCAAATATATAGTTTCAAAGTAGCCGTCTCTGTTTCTCCCTCCGCGTGCACTGTAGGCCATTCGAATAGAATCGATGGCGTTTCTGGATGTTTTGACTCTTCGCAAATTCCCATTTCGCCTCACGAACTTCTTCTGAATATAGTTCACGTATATCTTTAGAATTTTCTTGTTCTCATTCCCGTATCTTTTCTCTCTCCTACTTCTTACATTGTACCTACATTTGTCTTGCGCTTTCTCTTTGGCTTCTTTGAGGAGACTCAATTGGTCTGGGGGTATGATTCAACTTCAACATCAGTATTTTCATCTGGGTTTTGTTTAAATTTCATTTTTATGCAAGTAATTTGGATATATCTGCTTGAATTATTCGTTCGCGATGTCAATATTGATCTAGGCTTTCTTTATTCCATGTTTATGTGTGAGGAATCTATTTGGATGCATGAAAATTTATCTTTGATGTGAATATTGGTCTGGGCTTGGATTGAGCTCCAACTTTTCAGCAATGAATCAATTTAAATATGCACAAATGGTTTGTTTTGGTGGGAATTTGCATATGGGTTTGACATTCAGCTGAATTTGATCTATCAAGGATCAGAGAGGGCCCTTTCAGTAAGAATACTGTGGAAAATGTACCCTTTATTTTTTCGTCTTAATGAATGTATTTGATATAGATGGATTTTGGTTTTTATGGAAATATATAATACCTGTTCTACCACTATATTAGACCTAGATTGGCTTATAGCATCTCCAACCTCAACATTTGAGTAAAAAACTTGATTTGATACAAAGCATTAGATAAAACCTAACCATTAATGATTTGAGTAAAGGGTTGAGTTTCCCTTGATTGGGTATGAGTTTGAGTATAGAATTGGAGAAGGTTTTTGAAATTTTTTTATCCAAATTTAAATTTTAGTTTAAATAAGGTTAAAAAGTTGGAGATGCTCATGAATTGAAATTGCCCTAGGACATAATAATTTTCTCTCCCCCCCCCCCCAACAAAAAAAAAAAACACACAGACCCACGCAAACCCCACCCCTCCCCACCTGGAGGGAGAGGGTTCTGTTCATTAAATGTATTTACTGTGGTTCAGAGAAGACCATTTTCATAAACTCTAATTGAAAGCCTGTTTTGAGGTTGTTTGACCATTTATTGGTTTCTGGAAATGCCCATATTCTAGCTTGTTCTTTTCCTTTTTTTTCCCTTGTTTCTTTTTTCGTGTCTGATTCATCTAGGAAAACTAGATTCTGCATATATCTTCTTTCATAGCTTTTGTCTCACTCAGTCCTGTGTTTTATCCAACAGGGTGAAAGAATGACAGAACCAAAAGGAAACACTCCCTTGATGGCACCCTCATCATTGAAGCTCCCAGATTATAAGACATCAGTCAAGCTGAAATATGTTAAGCTTGGCTATCATTACCTTATGACTCATGGAATGTTCCTCTTCCTTTCCCCTCTTGTGATCATAATTGCTGCCCAACTTTCAACATTTTCTCTCCATGATCTATATAATATATGGGATAATCTCCAGTATAACCTCATCTCTGTGGTCATTTGCTCTTCTCTTTTAGTTTTGTATCCTCCATCTACTTCCTCACTCGTCCTCGCCCTGTATACCTGGTGGATTTCTCATGCTACAAGCCTGATGAAGCTCGACGGTGCACAATGAAGACATTTATGAATCAGTCTCAGTTAACTGGTGCATTCACGGAGGAGAACCTCGCGTTTCAGAGAAAGATCCTTGAAAGATCTGGCCTAGGGGATCACACTTACCTTCCTGAGGCTGTCCTCAATATGCCTCCAAATCCATCGATGAAAGAAGCTAGAAAAGAAGCTGAGGCAGTGATGTTTGGTGCCATTGACGAACTTTTAGCTAAGACCTCTGTAAAACCCAAAGACATAGGAGTCCTGGTTGTGAATTGTAGCTTGTTCAATCCAACCCCATCTTTGTCCGCTATGGTTATCAACCATTACAAGCTTCGAGGAAATATCGACAGCTACAATTTAGGTGGTATGGGATGCAGTGCGGGTCTATTATCTATTGATCTTGCTAAAAAACTTCTTCAGGTCCATCCTAACTCGTATGCGTTGGTTGTCAGCATGGAGAATATCACTCTGAACTGGTACTTTGGGAATGATCGGGCAAAACTTGTTTCGAATTGCTTATTTCGAATGGGTGGGGCTGCGGTGCTGCTTTCTAACAAATTTTCGGAGAGAAGAAGATCCAAATACCAATTGGTGCACACTGTTCGGACACACAAGGGTGCTGATGATAAGTGCTTTGCCTGTGTGACCCAAGAAGAGGACTTCAATGGAAAAATTGGTGTTACTTTGTCAAAGGAGCTCATGGCTGTTGCTGGTGATGCTTTAAAAACCAACATCACCACATTGGGGCCACTTGTTCTGCCTACGTCTGAACAATTGCTTTTCTTTGCTACATTGGTGGGGCGAAAACTTCTCAAGATGAAGATCAAGCCTTACATTCCAGACTTTAAACTAGCTTTTGAGCATTTCTGCATCCATGCTGGCGGAAGAGCAGTTTTGGATGAAATCGAGAAGAACTTGCATCTTTCTGATTGGCATATGGAGCCGTCAAGAATGACGCTCTACCGATTTGGCAACACCTCAAGCAGCTCGCTGTGGTATGAATTGGCTTATACAGAAGCCAAGGGAAGGGTGAAAAGGGGAGACAGGGTGTGGCAGATAGCATTTGGGTCGGGATTTAAATGTAACAGCGCTGTCTGGAAGGCTTTAAGGACTGTAAAACCAGCAAAGGAGAAGAACCCATGGATGGCTGAGATTGACAGGTTTCCCGTGGACGTTCCAAAAGTAGCGGCCATCTGAACTCTTTAACGGGAAATTCACATCCATTTATGGGTATTTTCAGCTACAGGTGTTCACACTTCTGGAGTAAGGTTTTCTTCTTTCAATTGTAGTGGTGTTTGAGGTTGCTTTCATTTTGCCTTTGGAGGATTGTCAGAAGGCCAGCTTCTTGGTTTTGCTTTCAGTGCTGAAAAGGGTGCATCAGGATGGCAAAATTGTTTTCGTCGGACTTCTTAAAGAGGGTTTTTGTGTCACAGATTGGCTTTTTTTTTTTTTTGTAAATGTTGAGTTTTTAGGTTAAGGTTCCATCAATGAGCAGTGTGTTTGACACACAGAATTTGGTTACTTTGACTGGAAACATGGAGATGGTTGGAGTTTTTATTAGCTATTGTTACTTGCCATTAATCAGTTTAAAGTGATTTTTCTGAAATAATTTCCTTGTTAAGCTTACAGCCTACTTGAAGCTATCCTTTTTTCTTTTTTCTTTTTTTTTTTTTTTTTTTTTTTGGGGGGGGGGGGTGGTGGATGAGTTTGAAGCTGTACTTTCACTGTGTATCTGTTTCCGAATTGCTCTGTTTCGTGTGCCCCCTTCATGACTTCGTATTTGCCTTGGTCCACACCATGTTTGCAGAGCAACCTCATTTTAAAGAGGAGGAAATAAAAAAAAGGGTGATTCTGTTTACGACATTATCGTTACCCCTCCACGTAGGAAGATTGTTTTTGCGACTTAACTCTTATTGCCCATCACACATTGGAGCAAAATTATTGTTACGTCAAAACCCACCTTTGCTCTGATCTATTAATGCATAGAATAAAAAGTTGTTCATGATCTATATTGACAACTGTGTGTCAAACAAATACAATTCATTGTGATAAACGGGTCTATTAATTTTTGGTCGGTTGTTTGCCTTATTTAATCATGAACAAGAGTGTGTTGAGCAAATATAATTTATCGTGATGAGCAAATCTATTAATTCCTGGTCAATTTTTTGCCTTATTTTATTCAAATGATGGATTCCTTTTGATATAGGAAGTCTTTTTTGTTTAAAAATGGGATAACATGTTTCATTTTCCGCACAGAAAAGTCTCATGCATGGCTTGTGGCAAGGGAAAGCAACTTGCTGGGTGAGTGTTCCACTAATTTAGGGTGGGTGATCTACCGAGAAGAACAATAGATGAATTTTGTATAGGAAAAGATCTAGATTTCTTGCAATTGGGTCTAAATGTCAGTCAAATAATTTTGGAAGTCTTGAAATTTTATTACGATATCAAAATTTATGATCTAGTTAAATTAAGTTAGGACTCGATGGATCCATTCCCACAATTATATGGCTTTTTCTCCTGTCATATTCTACATGGTCGATTCCTCCTCGACGCTTCAAACACGCACGGACCTATTTATGTCTTCCAATAAACAAGTTCTTCGCCTGGACCGCATTAATCTGGACAATAACACCAGAAAGTCTTCATTGACCAAGACTTTTATTATCAGTGTTCGTAATTTCTAAAAGCAACGCGACTTGGACTTCATTTGGGAAAGGAGTGGTAGCATTTAGTCTATCGGCATTCGCTGTCCCAACTTTGATGAGGAAGTTATCATCGTAACTTCGGATTCTACAACCAATACATAACTTACTGTCGGGTTTTTTTGGGTTAAAAACAGTGGTCTAACAACGAATTTGTCAATTTACTGATGAGTCAATTATCTATTTGACTCCAGAATTATATTATTTATATCAATTAAGTTTTTGAATTATATTTTGTGCCAATTTAACCCATAAACTATATCATTTTTGTTAATTTGGCCCTTCATCCAAATTTACGGCTAAGTTTGATGAAATTCTTCAAGTGCCCATCGCATGAGTCGGAGATTAGAATAGTTTAGGGGTCATTGTTATGCACGGGAGGAATTCTATCAACCTTAATGACGAATTTATATGGAAGGGTTATATTAACACAAATATTATAATTCAAGGACTAAATTACATAAAATATAATTCAAGAATTTAATTAAATATAACTAATATAATTCAGAGACGTAATAGATACCTCATTTACCTGTGGGAAGCTGACCAACTTTAATGGTTCTCGTGCTAAAGAAGATAATCCCTGAACCAGGGACAATTGCACCCTAAAATTTTACCTTATGATATGTTTTTCAGGATGCTAAATCATTTAGGTTACAAAATTTGATGCCGAGATTTAGTCAGACTAGCAAAGGTAAGGTCATTCTCAACACCATTTACCAGTGACATAAATAAATTATTAAAAACAAATTTAGTCTTATTGAATTTGATTTATAATTGAAGTGATCGGCCAGATTATTTAATAAATAAGTTAATATAAACTCAAATATATTATAAAAATATGATATATCAATAATCTGACTACATATGAGTATAAGTCGAATACAATAAAATATAAATATTATATAAATTCAATATAACATGATTCCTTACCAACCTGATTAAAGATGTATTAATGAGTGTTTGGCATGTCCAGTAGAAATTTGACAATATTTTTTATTTATTTGAGGACTTTAAAAAAAGTCGCCCTACCTTGAAATTCACCCTATTCTTTTGGATTAAAAAAGTTAATCTTTTGTATATATTTTTTATAAGTTTGGTCTTTAAAATATTAATTTTATTAATTTAATTTTTAAAATATTTAATTTGTGTCACTTTGATCCCTAATTAGTGATTCGTTAAGTTTTTGACGGAAGTGATCATGTGTCAATCTTTTAGAAGGTATTACATGCCCAATACGTGATCATTTCGTAAAAAACTTAACGGTCCGCCTATGAACTATTTTGATACTAATTAAATAATTTAGGGACCAAATTAATAAAATTAAAGATCAAAATTGATAAAAAAAAAAAAAAATACAAGTAAAACAAAAGGGTTATTAACCCTAAAAATAATCACATAATTCACAGGCAAAGTAAAACAAAATCACATAATTCTAGGGCGTGGAAGTGTGAAACCAATTCACCTAGTTGAGTAGACAATGGAAGAAGTTCAATAATTAAAGGAGCAAAGTGAGATGACATCCATAGTTTAGGGGACAAAGTGTAGTTAATCTTAAAATCTAAACGCTGTGTTAAAAGAGACCTCATCGTCCTCTTCTCTATCTGAAAAGGCCTAAACATACTCCGACTCCATACTTCAACTCAACCGAAACCTGGTTTTCTGTGATCGGACCAAAATAAAAATTTATTTTCGTTAATATTATTGTGATGAACGGTGAATTACAGCTGAAGCAATCGGCTGATCGGAACCCTAGCGACTCCGATCCTCTGTTAGACAACCACCATGTTGACTCACAATCGTCATCGTCATCAGCGAGTTCAAGTGAGATAAAAAATGAGGATATCGAAGCTGGTTCCGTTGCTTTCTGCCGAATTTGCCTCGAGTGCGATGGCGAAGATGGTAATAAGAAATGTGTTTGATTAAATTTGGACAAATTTGATTGCGCGCTATTAATTATGGAAGGAATTTAAATTTTTAGGCTTTAAGCTGTGATAGTATTTTATGTGAAAATGATAAGATCATTTTGTGTAGTTTGGAGAATTTTAAATTGCTTAATAATGGTGTTTTGTGGTCGTCAAATGCTACGATGATTTTTGTATGCTGATATACATATTAATGGTTTATGGTTTGATATATTAGACGTTTAAGTTTTAGACTTTGATGGTGTAAACATCTGAGAAGCGTGAGCTGGAAGAGCTGATGAGCTCTTTATGTGGTGTATTGGGTGTCTACGGTGATATAAAAGAAAAGAAAATGCACAGAGAAGTAAGTGGTTCACAATTCACATAGCTGAAGAACTAGGTTAGCCTCTTACTCATTGGCTGTGTATTGTTTGAGGGAGAAGAATGAGGATAGTGTTTTGAGATATTGTTTTGCTTGTCAGGAAATCTTTAGGATACTCATTGGATGTTATAGGCTCTCCCTCCTAGGCGTGACGTTGCATTCTAGAAGCAGTGATGTCGCATTCTATAAATTGCGACTTCTTGTCCAAGGTAGGATTTGTTGATGAAAGCCCTTTTCTATCCTTTCTGGCTGTTCCCAAGCTGGTGCACTTATAACTGACCTGGATCTTTACCAGGTCAGGTCGGCATATGGATGAGAATAATTTCTTAGGGCATCATCGGACTCAAAAATGAAAAAAAAAAAGTAGTAATCTAAACAAAGTAGTTTTTTGTGTTTGTGTCAACATTTGATGATACCTGATAAGCTGAAAGTTTGACACTGATGATATTTACATGGCTCATTTGTTTTGAGGCATTCGAATAACTTTACAAAATCCAAATTTTTTGTTTTTCAATTTTCGGTTATATGGCGTCACTGATGTGCATTTGATGCTCATTCATGTATGGTTTGGTATGAGCTGTTAATTTAGCTTTACTAATGATGGATAAACAATTATTTATGTTTCCTTTTCCTTATACACCAAACTTAGTGATGTGCCTGAGCTGAGTTGAGCTGAGCTGAATGTCGAAGTGATTAAGCTTGGCTATGATAAAATTATGCGTTGATCAAACTCAGCATGTTTGTGTTCACAAGCTGCTTGATCGACCAAGGCTGATCTACAAAGTCTGAGCCTTCAGTTGTCATTTGAACTATAAGAGGGATTTATTTTAGTAACAACGGACTATTCATAACGTCATCTAATATAACAAAAATCACTACTTTCATTTTTGTGTTAGTGTAATATGTCAATGCATGGCATACATGCTGTGGTTTGGTTA